CAATTGCATTTATATCGAGTCAATTTCTTTTCAATAATATAACGGGATTTTTACTACCGGTGATTTGGGTATTTTAGCCCCAAAATACCTTAAAATCGACTTTATCTTCTAGGAGTTCGATAGAATTTTTCCTTTCTTCACTTAAATTATTCCGTAGCACTTTTCTTCAAGAATCTGATACGATTTTGCTTGAGGCAGATCAAAAAACTTTAATTCGATCGAATAGCTTTCTACTTTCACATTACACGGTCTCGTCAAGGTGCGTCTTTGACCTCGCAGTGTTGGATCGTGAATTCTCTTGTTGTGCTGTTTGCCTATTTTGAAATCTCTGTAAATGAAAACTAAAGGGGTTGATATGTGCGAGTTAATGACGCGCCTTATCAACACATTGTGTTGGAGTTCACTGCTTGTTTATTCGCTGTCTTTGCCTTCTCCCGTAATTTATTCCATCTCTTCATACGTGTGTTTCATTACCGTCACTTAACCTAAAAACATTTTACCTCATCAACCACTGGAAGAAATATATGTTTTTTTCTCCTCTTCTTTGAAGTGTTATTTTCAAACGTTGACAAGACAGGCGTCGTTCAATTCATATGGAAACAATCAATGGGTAAAGTCAAAAAATTTGTTCATAAATTGCAATGCCTCAAAATCTCCAATTTTTTGTCATTCTACTAAAATAAATGTGATCCAAATATGTTTTTTGAACCCATTTAAGAAAAATACTTGACTCATTTAATTTCCGTTGAAAAATACAAAAATACCACAAATAGATATTTTTTGTGTTATCGGTTTTTTGAAAAAAAAGAAAAAAAAATTAATTTTGTATAGTTATACTTCTAAAATTCATTTATACTTGAGAAGAAGTAATTTTTCTATGAACATGGGTAACTTCAAACTCAAACAAAACGCTAATTGAGAGGAAGAAAAAGTTCAAAGTTAAAACTGAAATGTATGATGTTAGTTAATTTAGTTATTCTTTAGTAGTTACATTGATAACTGCTCTGACTTTGTTCTTCTTCAGTGCACCGAAAAAAAATTGAAGTTGATTTAACATTCTAGATGTAAAAAAGGTGTGCGAGAACTTGAGAAATGCTGAATTACCCGCCACAGCAGTTAGTTTTACATTTTGGCATTGCTAAATTAACTGCTGTATCGGTTAATTCAGCATTTTATAAGTTCTCGCACACTTTTCTTACATCTAGAATGTTAAATTAACTTCACTTTTTTTTCGGTGTGGAACTTCTTAAATACGTTTCAGAATAGGATACAAAAATGTAAGGCACTTTTCCGTCACCTTAGAAATGAATTATTCTGGCGTGTAACCGCCCCAGGCGACTTAAAGTGCGAAAAGGTTGTACAGTACACTACGTATGCACTCGTATTAGTAGTGTGACAACGGCTCTTCTGAAGCCTCACTGCGGCTATGCGTAGTTGAAAAACCGATGGTTGCTAAGGAAACAGTAAGGTTGTGTACGCCGGCTATTTAAGTGGGTGAGTTAAAACAAAATAATTATGCTTCGTAAACGTGTCAACCGCAATTCATTGTGATGTTAGGAGTATTTCGCCAAGCAATGAATTTTAATCATTATCTCGACCTTTTTCGGTTGGTTTTAATTGGCCTGTTTTATGGACTCCAATTCATTTCATTTCTGTGCACAAAAGTTTGACTTACATGCATGTACTTTAGTTTTGGCGGCGATATTGCACTCCTACACTTTTAATTTTAAGAGTTATTCTCATCGTTCTTGTTTTGAACCACTCTTCTAAAAATGCAATTATACATGTAGGTCTAAAGTATTTCAATATATTTGGATACCATTATAGCTGAGCTGAAGTCTAAGCCCTTGAGTGAAATGAGGGACTAGAATTCAGATGTTCAGCACAAGAGTTGCCTATTGGGATAAAATTTTGCTTTGTTCCTCTTGGAAAATAATCGTGGCTACTGACATTTTTACAAATTCAATGTGCGTGTTACATGTAAGTGGTAATGGAAATAGTTACCAATGTTTATCCTCTGGCGAGAAAAAAGTATATAACACAGCATCGTGCCATGACCATAAGCCGTGATCTGCACAAAAAGTTTGAAAATATATTGAGAACTGATCCTAGTATGTTTTCATTTATACGCGTGTCTCCATTCATATTGAAAAGATATCCTCGCAAGTGCTTAGAAATAGTACATTTAAATGTGATGGACTGATGGAGTCTGGCAAAAAAGCTCTTGAAAAA